CCCCAAAACCCCAAAACCCCAAAACCCCAAATTTATTAAGCTCAATGAAAGTGACTAGTAATTAAATTTGGCTAATTAAACATTAACTAATCATGATGACTACATGAACTTTTTGTAAATGAAAAACAAGAAGCATGATCCTTGACATAGTCTTACTGCCCACATATTTCTCTTTTTATGCCATTCTATCTCTTCCTTTTTCTTGTCCTTAATTAGTGCTTCCATTTGTAGTTTAACATCGTTCTGTCTCTATTTTCTATATTCCTTGATTTCTTTTCTTAAATAGGTCTTGTCATTCGGGAACTCCTCCCCTTTCATTTTCTTATAGATTTCTCTTAGGTTTTAATCAATTATTATTTGGTTTTGGATTATCTCTCTTACAATGTTGATCTTTTTCTTATGCTCATCGATTCCAAAAGTCTTCGAATAGGTACAAACCAAGTTAAAGATAAATAAATAGACTAACTGCATTACATAGATCTACAAATAAATGATCATTATCGATATATTACTTTTTCAAAAAGGCAGTAAGTAGGAGGGAATAATTTAGCAATTGCCAGAGTACTTGATCTTGGCTGATAGTTCTCATCGTTTTCCGATTTCACTTCGACCATCCATTGGATTTCATTTAAGCAGAATACAACAGCCAAAGCGAGGGAATATCTTAAACCATTTTTTTGCTACAAAAATTTCATTATATTGTATCTTACTTCAACTGTTGACATTGCAGCAGCTAATAAAGCAAAAGTAACATAATAGACAAGACTAGAACCAACTCGCCAATCTGTTGATCCAACTGGGTCATTTGATGCTGAGTCTCCTCCCATATTTTGAATGTAATTTCCAAACTTTTTGTATTGCATTCTGCATGGTGTGATTCTGAGGCAATCATAGGCCTCTTAAATCTTTTTGAATTTCTTTAGATTTTCTGGATCTGGGTTATTAGCCGGATTAAACTTGTTATTCAGATCTTCATATGATAACCTAATTTTCTCTTATGTCACTATGGTGTTGTCAAGGTTCAGAATCTCGAAATAGTTCTCTGGTCGACCTATAAACTACATTAAAAGAGGAATAATTACTTTGGAAAAAATACAAAGCCTAGAATAAAAAGATGGCAATAAATATTGAAGCATAAATAAGAAGTCTCTCTTTCTTGTTCTTAAATTTTAGAGAGACAGTATCAGAGTTGAGAGTGTGAAACAAGAATAGATTGAAAAATATTTCTTTCATGCTTTAATATTGCTTAAATTAATTATTAATAGAGTTTAATCTAGAATATAACACTCTCTTGGGGTTTTGGGGTTTTGGGGTTTTGGGG